TTTTTTTTTTTTTTGTGTCTGTTACCACTTTTTCTCAGCTGTCATCGAACCGATTTCTTTCAATGATACGTCAAAAGATCACAAATCGTATCTAGTTGAAGACATTACCTTTAAAAATTGAAAAAAATTCCCTCGTTCCGCGTAAATGGGGGAAACCTCCAAAAAAATTACAAAATTTAAAAATGGCTAATTTTCGAAATTTTTTAAATTTTTTTTACTAAAAACTGCCGTAACTTTTTTAAAAATAAACATATCAATATAATTCTTTTTTTTTATAGATGCATGATGTCATTACCTATCATTTGGTATATTTTTTTTATAAATCTGACTTTTTACCTGCCCACGGGGGGGGATTTAAAACGACAACTTTTTTACAAAAAATTAATTTTTTCAACTAAACTTTTGAAAGTGTTCCGGAAAGTCTGACACTTTTATATATATCTTAAATTAAAGCTAATATAATATACTTTATCATGGAAAAAAAAATTTCGTACTTTATTTTGTTTTCAGGGTGAAAATGGCTACCAAATGCTATTATTGTGTGAAAATTCTCGATTTTATTTTTTTATTTTTAACTTTATAATGCCTATAACTTATTGAAAAGTGTATNTTTTTAACTTTATAATGCTATAACATATTGAAAAGTGTATGGATCAACATAATTTTTTTATGAGAAATAATATTTTTTAATAATCCCTCTTTCATTCAATATACTTTATCTGAATCAGGATATTAATAACGAACTAGCAGATCATGTTGCTTTTGGAATAATCCACCTATTTTTTAAAATTAAACACTATCTAAAGATTTGCATCGAAGCGTTTTATTTTGATAGTGATTTTAATCACTATCAGATATCATTATACTTGATCCAACTATGTCACGTCTCCACTGTGCCGCGACCCCCTTGTGCTGGGTTTTTTTTTTTTTGCATAATTAAGTAAATTACATTAGCTTTAATTTAAGATATATATAAAAGTGTTAGACTTTCCGGAACACTTTCAAAATTTAAGTTCAAAAATGATAGTTAAAAACATCAAACATCTATAAAAAAAAAACTTTATTTTTATGTTCAATTTTGAAAAAGTTATGGCAGTTTTTAGTAAAAAAAATTGAAAAAATTTCGAAAATTAGCGATTTTTAAATTTGTAATTTTTTGGGGGATTTCCCCCGTTTACGGGGAACGAGGGAATTTTTTTCAATTTTTGTGGGTAATGTCTTCGACTAGATACGATTTGTGATCTTTTGAC